CTTCATTCACTGGAGTGGATCATAGTTTGTTCTGCTTTATGTTTTTCTCACAAGGGTTATTCAGAGAAAGTAGTTTGGATCCCCAAAAGGGCTGCCTTCCATTCCTTACTTGGAATACATTTTTCATAGATTTCCACCACTATGAATCCAATCCTTGAAGTCCAGGGGACAAAAACCCAATATGTTGTTTTCCAAGTTGCTATGCAAGATGAAAGAGACAGCTAGGATGAAGGAAGAAGAGAGAAAACGCAGCTGAGCAGGTCAGGTCTGATAAGGTATCCTGCATGTGGGAGAGTTCAGAAGGCAAGTTGTGGACAAGGGTGGGCGGGCTCCAAGACAAACACGGCTGGTGGACTAATTTACAAAGATCTGATCCCAAGGGTGATAAAGAAGGTCCCCAAGAATGTGCAACCTCAAAACTCCTCTCAACAATCAAGATAAAAATTGAATTACACAGGTTGTTTTAGTAATTTATAGGCAATAAAGAAGAACAACACATTCTCATACTTGTTTAATCTTCTCTAAAATCTGCTTTTGTGTGACATTTAAACTTCAAAAAGTTCCTTTGAAGTTGAAATCACTTTTTTTGAAGAAGCCTTTTATTGATCTTCTAATTTAAATCCAGGAAGCCATGACCTGACAGTAAGAATAGATTATAGACAACTTATAAAATATTCATTTTTCACTGTACTTTATTAATGACCTGTTAAAGTTTAGAGCTTAGGGATACTGTTCTTCATGTTAGAATGACTGATTACAGCATAATTGTCAGGAAAAAAAATTGTTTTTCCTCTTGTTTAAAATGAGATTCTTTGGATAATACAAACAACACGAGGCAGGTAGAAATTTTCTTTTAATTTCCACCTCCAGTATTATATAGCTGATTCTATTTAGAGTGTGGCATATTCTGGAGCTCAATTTTTCTAAGATGTATTTATTTACTGTAAAGTTAAGGCAGAGTTACAGGCAGAGGAAAAGAGAGAACTTCCAACAGTTTGATTCACTCCTCAAAGAGCCACAAGGATCAGGACTGGAGCCAGGCTGAAGCCAGGCGCTAAGAGCTCCATGCAGGTGTCTCACATGGGTCAAGGTCCTCTGTACTTAGCTATCATCCACTGCATTCTCAGGCACATTAGCAGACAGATGCATCAGAAGTGGGGCAATCTGGGATCAGAACCAGTTTAACCCACTGTACCACAATGCCAGCACTGGCTTACTTTTATTTATTTATTTTTTAAATATTTTGTTTAACTTCGTGGTTAGTTCGCCTGTGATAACTGTAAGTAATGCCACATCCTAAGACAGAAATAGCAATATATTAGGCTGGAAAAGACTGGAAATACCAAGTTTAGAGGACTTGAGAACAGAAATTTGGCTTTCTATTTGTCTTTGAGACAACCATTAGACCTGGAAGTGAGTATACAGAGAAGACAGTTCCTTCTGTGAACTGGATCTTCAAGAAAACTTAGGCTAGAAAAATTTTGTAGCTATAATTTTACATGATATCTCAGCTATAAGTCTGGTGAAAACTAAAATGTGAGTGACTGTACATAGAGAAAAGTTTCATAATTGTCCTGGGAATCTGGAACATCTGGACGCTGGGGAAAATTCTATACAAGAGACAAAAAGGAAGCAGTGAGAAAGCATGAAGAAGATGCACCTTAAGTGGTGAGCTAAAGTTTCCCCTCAGGATGAATGTGATCCACTATATCAAATGTTGCCACAACATCAAATGACTCAGAACTGAGAGACTCAACCAGTGAAGCAGGCAGCGGGGAATACCATTGTTAACATTGACAAGAACTGTTTTACAGAGAAAAGGATAAACATTCTGACAGAGTAACTTCAAGAGCAAATAAGGAGGGAATGGAAACAATCTGTAATCATCCTTCAAAAAACTTTCCTGTAGGTAGATGTCTGGTGCATCCATTAAGGCACCACTTGGAATGCCTGCATCCCGTCTCAGAGTTCTTGCACTATTATTGACTTTTGTTTCCTACTAATGCATACCCTTGAAGGCAGCAAGTGATAATTCAAGTCCTTGGGTCTCCACTACTTTCACATGAGACCTGGATGGAGTTTCAGGTTGCTGTCTTCAGGCTGATGCAGACCAGCTATCATGGACATTTGGGGAGTGAACCAGTGGATGAAGACCAATCTCAATCTCTCTCTCTCTCTCTCTCTCTCTCTCTCTCTCTCTCTCTCTCTCTCTCTCTGCCTCTTGCATTCCTTCTATTCATTCCTCACTTTCAAATAAAATTAAGCCATTTACTATAGCACCATGTAAGATTTCCTGTGAAAAGAAGCCAAGAATGTATTACAATGGATAGACATCTGGGAGAGAGACGTAAAAGAAGACATATTTCTTAAAGATAGAACAAGTGATTATGTGTATGTGTCTAACTTCCAGTAATACAACAGAGAGAGAGATGAGCTGAAGGAGTAGAAAATATTGCAGAACTCAGAAGGAATAGAATTCAGTGTATCCATGGAAGCACGGATACGGCATCTACAGAAACCTGAAGAAACCAAGGACCACTATTTTTTGTGTAATAGTACAAGCCTCTATCTGCCATTCTAGCATGCCCTGTGGGTGCTGATTCGTGTCCACTTTATAATCCAGCTCCATGCTGATGATGACCTGAGAAAGCAACGGAAGATGATTCAAGTCCTTGGGCTCCTTGGCAGACCCAGAAGAGGATCCTAATTCCTAGCTTTGGATCAGCTCAGTTCTGGCAGTTGTGGCCATTTGGGGAGTGAATCAGCAGATGAAGGTCTTTTTTCTCTCTTTCTTTCTCCTTTCTATAACTCTGCCTTTCAAATAAAATTTTTTTTAATTAAGAAACTAGTCTGTGTGGGTACATACCTTGATAGGTAGATATGATAATGGATAAAAGTTAGTTCTTCTGATGACTTCATTTTTCTCAGTGAAACAGAAAGAAGATATGAAATTAAAACAAGAAATATACAGATGTTTAGGAGAGAATAAAATAGCAAATAGTCAATGAATCAAGGAACAAGGGAACCAAGTAATATTAGATGTCTTGCCAATACAGATTTTAATTAATATTCATAATGAATACTTATAACATCCCTAGGACATGAATATTATATTTTATACATATAAATAGATAGAAAGTAGGGGTATACAAATATTTTATATATTGCCCAAAACCACAAGGTGAGTGACAGGAAATTCACTGTTGGAGATTTTAAAGTCAAATGAATTTTACCAAAACACTAATAAAAATTTTAAGACATTTTTTTAATCAGGAACATGATCACATTTACATTTGGAAAAGATCAAATTTGTTACAGTGTAGCTAAATTGATTCTAGAGCAGCTTGCACTAGAATTGAGGAAAAAATCTGGGAAGAAGTAATTGTGATACTTCTCAGTACTAAAAAATTACATTTAGTGACGTGTTGGATAGGAGCAATGGCAGGGATGATACTGACCTTCAGAATTGCAGGACAGGATGATGGTATCATTAACTAAGACAGAGAAACAAGATTTGCAGAAAGGGGCAAACATTCTTGTCCTTTACAAGTTAAGCCTATAGGACTTTGAAACTTCCTAAGGAAGATGTTGGCAGAAAGTTGACAAAGTCTGTTGCTCAGACGGCTGAGAATATACAATGTGAGCTATAGAACAGAGATAACATAACCATAAGACAGCAAAGGATAATACCTGAGGAACTCCAAAATTTAAACTCTAAATAAAGCAAATTGCCCTTAAATTGCACAAGAGCTATGAAAACAAAAGTAAATGGAGTTTACAGATAGATTTCAAGGGAAGGGTGTGATCAGTTTCAAATGGCACTGAGTGTGAATAAAGTGAGGTGCTGAAACATCTACTGAGTGTAGAAACTGAGATTTTTCGAGATACTAGTCAGCTATTACGTAGAATGGTAAGTGCAAATGTCACAACTGGAATGTGCTAGAATTAGTCCAAAGTCAGAAGTTTAGCTAAAAAGCGGATGGGAAGTCAGGTGATATAGGGACATATGGAATACAGGATTAGGGATAGATTTTCCTTTTTGAAAGGCATAGGCTTGAGCTTATAACATCCAAGGGAATATCAAAAAGAAGCTCCCAGTTAACAGACCAATTCAGTCTGTGGCAGCATTTTATATGTAAATATATATAAATATACACTTGTGTGTATATATATACACTATATATACATTCTATATGTACATACACATATACATGTATGATATATATAATATATAGCAGTATATGTGTATAAATACATATGTGTATATGTATGTGTGTATCTATATTTACATATATATATATAGAGAGAGAGAGAGATTGACTCCAAAGTACAGATGAAGAAAAAGCTTAGCAGTGGTAACACATCACCTGCAGGCTTGCCCAAAAGCTTTGCACAGCTGTTTATTAATGCTTTGTTTTTTGAACCAATGAGAAAGAGTGCTATCATTACCAAGAATATTTACGTCTATCTTTTGCAAGACATGCTGCATTCATTTCTGGATTTTTAAATTTTCCTTTAAATTTTAAGTCATGTATGTGATTTTTATTTAAATTTCTACATTCTCGCCTTTTTCATTTCACCAAATGTTTTTCTGCAGTGGTCATATGAATGGCAAGAACTTTTTCTTCAGTCAAAGTATGTAAAATATCCCTCAATAAATTTTATGACTTTTTTCCTTATTTTGTTTTACTCTTGAAGAGTTTACACATCTAGACTTATATTAGACCTGAAGTAAAAAAAAAAAAAAAATCAATGACCATCCCACCTCCCCCGCCCAGCTCTCTGCTTGTCGTTAATTAGTACATGATGTCCAGTCTGCAGTTTTGAACCTCCAGTGCCAAACAGGTTGTGCAATTCCATCCCAGCACACTTCCGTAGGCCTGATCAAAACTGCCCGGCTCCCTGGAAGCCCCTTCATCCTCACAGCAGATGTGAGAACAAAGCACAGTTCACATCTTTTCTGAACTGCACGTTCCCCTCTCCTACGGGAACCATTCACCATGTTTGCTGGGTATATATTTTTGGTGATTTTATTCCAGATTAAAGGTATGTCTTAACATTGTTTTTATCAGGTATTTCTTATTATGTTCAGAAATAATGTCTCTTTTGCCACAAATTTGGATTTTAAATGATTAGAAATTAACTATAAAATGTTGATTTTGCAAAGTACATAGCACAGGACTTGGTCTAAGTTGTGGCACATCACAAGTTTCTGTGATTTTGCGGAATGCCACCTCAATCTTAAATAAGTAGACCCACCACACAAAGTAAAAAAGAAGTGGACCTTAATGGGAAACCTACCAAATTAACAGCGCTGTGCACACCCTTTGGCCACTGTGTAGAGCATAAGTGAATACTGTCATCTCTATGTTAAGAATAACAAGAATGATACTAATATTTTAAGATCCTAAAGACTGATTATGCTACTAGCAGTCACACAGCTCATAATCAGGTAAAACCAGATTACGGTATATTCCAATGACGTCTCTTCCTCGCTCTTAAAGAGTAAACTTGAACTGGGCAGAGATCACTTCACAGAGAACTGCCAATGAGATAGAACAGGAGAGAAAACTGGACTCAGAGCTACCAAAAGCTCTTTACAAACAGAAGCTTAATACATAACCATGACAGCTAAGGCTTCCAATGAAAATGTCCTTGCAAAGCAAAACCCGATAAGTTATATGGAAACAAAAGATTCCAGTACAGGCTGTGACAGCAGGTGGAATCAGAGACAGGCTCTTGGATGGCAACCTGACAAAGACGACAACGCAGAACACAGTGAAAAGAGGCAAGAAACCGGATGACCCTCATGTCCTCGCCTTCTTTATAATTTTGCTTATACTCTCCTGGTTTGTAAACCTCACTCTCAATTTACTGTTCAGTGAAGTGGGGATGGTATTTCAGTGTTACTGTCCATGGCAGTTCTCTGGGAACAAGTGGATCGTCCTGAGAACCGTTCCATTTTTCAATCACCATACATGAATGTTAACATCAGACAAATTGTTTTCCTGTTAACACTTTCTTTTAGATGATACAATCCTTGGAGTAGAGGGTCAAGAATTTATTTATCCAAAACAACTCCCTCTTGTACGGAAGCGAGACGTTGGGCTCCCCCATGACTACAACATACCGGTATGAGTTTTGATTCTGTAAATAAAATTTGGTGCTGCCAGAAGCCTGGAGGGGGATGCTCTTTGGCTCATCAAGAAGCAAATGGGAAGAGAAGAGGATCAATGTCCCTTAGCTTACAGCATGTGTGAGGGTGTCAGCAGACCCCTAAAGTGTCAGGAAACAGGGACCGGCGCGGTAGCCTAGTGGTTAAAGTCTTCTTCTAGCACATGTCAGGATCCCATGTAACTAAGACATTACTTGGGATGCCTGAGTCGCGTATCAGTTCCAGTCTCAGCTTCCTTCCCAATTCCAGCATCCTATACTTGTGTGCACCCAAGAGAAGCAGTGGAAGATAGTGCAAACATTTTTTGTTCTTGCCATACATGTGGGATGTTGAGATGAAGTTCCTGGCTCCTGCTTTTGGCCTGGCCCAGACCTGGCTGTTCCAGACATTTGGGGAATGAACCAGCCAATGGGAACCCTCTGCTTGTGTCTCTCTGCCTCTCAAGTAAATACTGAAAAGAAACAAAGAAACAAAAAACAAGACAGAAAGCCATGTAAATAATTGTGCTGTTTTGTATAGCTCTGCATATTTTAACTTTTTATTAGTTTATAACAGATTCAATGTGATCTGTAGATATAAGATCATAATCTCTTTCTCCTTTCATTCCTGCATCCCTCCTTCCTTCTCATTTTTTTTTAGTTTTTGAGATAACATTTTAAATTTATATTATAATTAAAAATGACCATTTCTCTCATATGCAGTAAAATTTACAATTATTGCAGATCATTTAATAAATAGCAATATAATCCATCACAAGTCCCATTTTGTTTATTACAGAAAATACCTATTACAGGTAACAAGGCAAGGGCACAGAAACTGATAAAAAATTGAGTGGAAATTCTAAAAAGGGACTTCCCTTTTTTGTGATACATTTGGCAATACACAGCAAAAATCTCTCATTCTTTAGCAGTACAACTGCTAACCCCTGAAACCAAGTTTCTGATTATAAGTATCAATTAAAAATAAATAAAATTTCATTCACATTTTTAGCAACCTTAAAATGGATGCAATGGCATTAAATTTATCTGGATAGTGAATGGTATCATTCATTTAGTAAAAATCTAGACTATAATCCAATATATACAAAGTTATTGAAAAAAATTGTGAAAAATTGTTATCTGGCCATAGTTTAAGTTGTGCATTATTAAAAAACTTTATTCTATATATTTTTAAAGCCCTTTGAAAAATAAAGCTTTAATTTAAAATTAACTTGAGGGGCAAATATCATGGTCCAATGGGTTAAGCTGCTGCCTGTAACGCTAGCATCCTATGTGAGTGCTGGTTCTAGCCCTGGCTGGTCCACTTCTGAACCAGATCCCAGCGAAGATGCCTGGGAAGGCAGTGGCAGATGGCCTCCTGTTCTTGGACCACCCACTAGGGAGACCTGGATGAAGTTCTGGGCTCCTGGCTTCAGTCTGGCCCATCTCTTGGCATTGTGGCCAGTTGGGAGTGAGCCAGTGGATGTCATTTTCTCTCTCTCTCTCTTCCGCTCTATTTTTCTCTTTCTCTCTCCTCCTCCCTTTTCATCTCTGACTCACCCCCTTCTCTTTAACTCTACCTTTCAAATACATTTTTTTTAAATCATTTTTAAAACAACTCTAGTAACCCCCCCATTCAGCACTTAGCATTCTCCTGAGAGGACTGCTGCAGACCTGTATGGATCCGCATCCCTTCAGCCTCTGCACAACTCACCCCCCGGACACACTAAATGAGCACATGCTGATGGCACTTGTTGATGGCACATGCTGGATCTTATTTTTCAGGAAATGTATGAAGAAGAATTGTTATATGAAATAAAACTAAATAGAAAAACCTTCCTCCTTCACCTTCTAAGATCAAGGTCAGTTCTGCTGGGATCTATAGCCTTGTAAGTTGAGTAGCCTGTATTATTTGTTTTCATATAACCTGCCAGTGCAGTGAATTCCTTATCACTGCTGTTCACACGGAAGTGCTACAGGATTTCATGTTCTTCAGAGACAAGCCATTGCAGCTCTGAGTTCTTGGCTCCTGGTTTTGTCCTGGGCAGACTTGGTCATTACAGATGCTGTCCCCTGCTTCCTGAATGAGTCCCAGTGGGCACGTGGAGTTTTCTGAGCTCCACATCATCTTTCTGAGAAGATGGCCAATAGATCATCGCTTTGTGAATCAGTGGTACAAAAGAAATTTGAAAAATGTTTTCTTAAGGGACTTCTAAATTATTTAAAAGATTCTTACATAATGCATCAAGTAGACTGGAGAAGTAAATGAAACACTGGGAAGAATTTCTTTCACCAAGACATCTTGTGTAGCAAAACAGTCTTAACATCCTTAATCTTCATAAGCCTGTTTTAAAACAACCCATTGTGTTGCTGTTGATTAGCTTATATTGTTTTGTTTCATCATCTGTATCCCTAACAGCTCTATCTCAGTGCCACAAAAACAATAGATTTCAATATCTGTTTACAGTGTTTTCTCTTCAGGTAAAATTTACATACAACAAAAATGCACTAGCCTGAGGTGTGCAATCATGCATACACTAAATTTTATTTCTAGGGTAAATTAATGAGCTATCATTGTATACATTTATGGGACACAAAGTAATGTTATGAATTATGAGTGTAGTAATTAAATAAGCCTTATTAGCATATTCACCAATGATTTTGAAAGTTCAATGAACTATTTTTAAATATATTCATGCAATATATTTCACAAAAATCACACCTTATGCTTCCTGGCTAAATCTGAGTTGTGTCCTTTCACCATCACTGATTCCAAAGAGTTGTCTCTCGCCATAAATTACTTTTGTCCATTCTGAAAATTCTTATAAAAACTCACACAGCAACTACACTTGTGTAAGTAACCTACTGTTGTTGAGATTCATTTATGCCATTGCATGTGTTGGAAATGTGGTTCTTTGATTCTTCTGGGCAGTCCTTCTCCTGATAACGAGGACTCTAGCTATTTTCACTGTTTGGCTATTAGGAACGCTTTTATGATTGTTCTTGCAAAGCCTTCTTTTTAGCACACTATTTTTTTAAGAAGGTATTTAAATTTACTCTCAAAAGTTTTCAAGTACCAAGCGCATGTTTATGATCAGCATTACTACAATGTACAGTAGACCTTTCAGACATTCCTTCCATCTGACAGAAACAGTACTTCTCATCCACATTAACTGCAGCAATAACAACTATTCACTACGTTTCTTTTTAATGGCAACTTGGAACATGTCACCGCCTACAAAGCTGACATTCTCAGAAGAACCCAGTTCTCGGCCACGTACTAGGAATGCTGCAGCCTGGCTGTTCTGGTACTTCTGTCAAACTACTCTTTGTTATGAGAATGTCTACTTTTGCTAAGGCAGTGGGGAGGAAGCATTTTCCTTTTGTGGCATCTGTATCCGAAGGCTGATACCATAGTGCTAGCTGTCTTCTTTTGATGAGAGGGAATGTGTACAATAGGGTGATTCAAATGTTAACCCCAAAAGTCATCCCTTGTACAGAGAAAGGACTCGAAAACGTCACCTGGAAATGGCAGCAGCAATGACTATCTCAATGGTGGGATTTTGGGAAACTGTCTTCTCAGTTTACTATGTCTATATTTCACAGTGATAAATGATATATACCATGTGCTTACACATAAGTTTTGGTACTTGAATTTCTGCTTAGATAACTTTTTCTCAGAATCCTTTTAAAATTGTTTATTTTCTTCAATTTGCCAAAATGTTTATTTGGCTTTCCTTTAGACCCTATAACATCATGAAATTTAGGTAAAAGGCTTTTCATATGAATGGGCTCATTGCTGATTTTTGTGTATTTCTCATGGGAGAGGACCCTGTTGAGATGTGAAAACATTCTGGAGCCTTCTTTATCACATGATTGTTTTCATCAGTTAGATTTTTAAAATTAATAAACTTAATTTATTAATTTTATTAATTTATTATTTTTCTGCTTTGTTTTTGTAGGGAGTTCCTTGGCTCGAATTACACTGAAACATACTACACCTCAAAAGGAGAAGCGTTTGCGAGGCACATTCAGATCGAGGTATCTTAGAATCTTCTTATGGCTCCTATCTGGAAGTATGGTTTCCTACCATGATTTTAAAATCAGTTTTAGCCAAACAAACTACACCAAGGTGTCACATCAGAAGTAGATTCTGAACTGACTAGCCTCGCATGACCCTAAAAAATAAAATATGACACTCTGACCCCTGAAAACAAGGTGATCACTGCCTGTCAAGCAGTTCGTAACTAACAGCGTATCTTTCTTTACTAAAATGATTTCAATAGAATTCGAACAATGGTAAGTCTGGAAGAAAGGTGAAGCCCATAAAGCCACCCTGGTGAGACTGTAACAGAAATGAACAAATTTGAAAGAAACAGCTTTAACATGTACATCCAGCTGACTTGAACATCCCTTGTCCCAATCCCCCTGACGCACTAGTACCAACGTGTCTTCGACATTGCCAGGTGGAGCTCTTTTCAGTTATCGTTGATAACATGCTGCTGGGTATGGGTTCTGCTTCTATACCTTCATTTCCCAATCCCATCCAATGCCCTATGGGACCTCCTAAGAACAACATCACTCTTGCATAACAAGATCATATACCCTGAAACACCAATTTCCTCTATTTAAAGCAACTGCCATTGAAAAATAGGACAAGAGGAAAACTGGTACCATTCTTTTGTGTGAGGGGTTAGTTTTTAGCCTGTGTCGTTGTAAAGTTTATGGAAGGCCTAGAAAGTGTCACCCAGAGGCAGAAATTGAGCAAATGAAACTGAAGAGGAGAGTGATCACTTCATGATGCTACTGTGAGGAAAAGTGCCAGGTCAGGAGCAAAAGACAACCTGATTGGATCAGAGAAGTCAGGCGGGCACGTGGAGGGGACTTGTTGGAGAGTGATATTTAATCTGGGGAATCATCAGAAGTTGATTTTATGTCATAGCCAGGTAGGAACAATTCTAACTCTATTAGCACAAAACAGTTTGATGAAAATTTTTGGATTTAAGAAGTCAAGAAGAAAAATGTTCACATTTTGGAAACTGGTGTCATCACCTAATCACTAATTTTGTGAAGGATGAATTCATATAGGATTCTACACAAATAATCATGCAATTAAGACAAAGTTTTTTTATTTAAGATTTATTATTACTATTATTTTTTACTGGAAAATCAGATATATAGAGAAGGAGATACAGAGAGGAAGATTTGTCTGCTGACTCACTCCCCAAGTGGCTACAAAGGCCAGAGCTTCGCCAATCCAAAGCCAGAAGCCAGGAGCCTCTTCTGGGTCTTTTGCGTGGGTACATGGTCCCAAAGCTTTGGGCCAAGATTAGAACTGATGCCCATATGGGATCCTGGTGCATGCAAGGCAAGGACTTCAGTTGCTAGGCGTGCTGAGCCCAAAACAAAGGTTTCTAAAGCAAGGTCCAGTATGTCCAAACAGTGTATGAATGATTGCACGACAAGAATAACTATAACTGGTCAGGAGGAAATACTAACATATTTTGAACAAATTAATAGCTACGGTCCGGTGGTAGCCTAGTAGGTAAAGCCCTCACCTTGACCATGCTGGAATCCCATATGGGCTCCAGCTCTAATTCCAGCAGCCCTGCTTACCATCCAGCTTCCTGTTTGTGACCTGGGAAAGCAGTCAAGGATGGCCCGAAGCCTTGGGACCCTGTATCCATGTGGGAGGCCTGGAAGAAGCTCCTGGCACCTGCCTTTGTATTGGCACAGCTCTGGCCATTGAAGCTGCTTGCGGAGTGAATCATCGATGGAAGATCTTACTCTCTTGTCTTTCCTCTTCTCTGTATATCTGATTTCACAATAAAAATAAATAAAATCTTGAAATTTAATTCATAGTTATGCTTACATTGTCTTCCTGTTTTCCATTTTAGGAGCATTGTTTTTACCAAGGTTCCATTGTACATGAACTTGATTCCGATGCCAGTATCAGCACATGTAATGGTCTGAGGTAATACAGGGTATTTTCAGTTTTCTTTGTGAGTTTTGTTATGAATATTTAAGTATCTGCCTCATTTATTCCCTTGTACTAACTCTGATGAACAGATTAACGAGAACAGAGCCACAGTAGGTTCTTCTTGTGCGTAGCAGCAGTAGCCTATGATTTTACGTTTGACAAAGTATTGCTTAATGTAGGGCAAATTTTCCAGTATATAACCGAGAGATTCAGAACTGGGTGATATGTGAAAATTGTCTACTCTGTCATTTCACGTTGTGATAAAGATACTGAAATCAGAGACATTTCTGAGCAATCAGTTTTGAATGGCAGAACTAACTCCAAATTCAGTTCTCTTAAGTGCTATGTCTATGAATTTCCATTATATCATTATTCTTCAGTAATTGAACCTGTTTCCATTCTCTACAAAGCAAAAAATCAGAGTAAAACCCCAGGTTCTCTAGAGACATTACCCTCCAGGCAATCTTGGGACAGTAAAAGGATAAAAGAACAAGCCACTTTTATCTCCATTTACATGGACTTACTTGAGTAGAGCTGGTATTTTCTAGAATGAGAACCTCTCTAATGATGGAATTACCACATAAGATTATTGATACCTCCGTATATTACTTTAAAATTAATAGATAATGAGTATAGACATTTATAAAACATTGCCCAAACTGAGGCATGCCAGAGGCCCACAACCACAGGGGGAACTGCTACTGTTCCTCGACTGGCCAACTTCTGGAAAGCAGGTAAGCTGACTCCTAGAAAAAATCATTGCTTCAGCCAAAAATCAGGTGTGTTGTCTCATTTCATTCTCACCCCCAAAATTATGCTACATGTTCAAGAAGGACTGGTTTTGTAGTATCCATTGTTTTTTGAAAAGACAAAGGAAACAAGATGGAATGGGAATAATTACAAATATTGAATATTGAATATTTTCTCAATTGCTATAGGGGGTTCTTCAGGATCCATGACCAAAGATACCTCATTGAGCCTGTGAAATACTCAGATGAGGGGGAACATTTGGTGTTCAAGTACAATCCAAGAGTGTTATATTCCACAAATTATTCTTGTGCAGAACTCAATTTTACCACAAAAATTGTTCTAAACAACACTGACTTATCTGAGGAAGACTCTGAAAAAGAAGTGAGTATTCTATTTTTAAAATCCTGTTTACCACAGTGAAAACACCTTTTGTTTCCTTTATAATCTTGAGAGACAATCTGTTCAGCCCATGGAATGTATAAGCTACTCTGACACTTCATCATCTCAAATATTATATTTAAGCTTATGTGCTAGTTATCTATATTTAAAGCTTTCATACCCTACAGCAAATTTTCTTGAATCTATTATTTTGCATGATACATTTTTATAGGCGTAGGGGCTCATCCTTACCTTTCCCCTTCCTCTCTCCCCAACTTCCCCTCCAACCATCATAATACTACAGCACGTCAGTTCATGATTATATGTTTAACTTTCTGATATTCAAATAGATCATGACATGGTAAGAATAGGAAAAGGTAGAAAACCTAGTATTATAATGTAAAAGTGTATTAATGAGTCTTAGTAGGGGTCCAGCCTTTTTTTTTTTTTCAGGAATAGAGATACACACCTACAGTTAACTCTTAGTTCCATCAATTTCATGAAAAGGGACAGTCTTCAATCCTATGTATAGAAGGACAGAGTTAGCACTTTAGGACTGATAGATTGAAAAGAATGATATTCACAGTACAATGAAAAATAGTCTAGATAATTATCTTTCCTTTTGTTCCTTGCCATTTTGGATTTGGGGTTGGGGTAGGGACTGCTGATGACAAAACAGGACTCCAGCCTTCATGAGGCCAAATGTTGTAACAGTTATATAATATTAAGGGCAATAAGAAACTGCATTTCTGGGGAAAGGTTGCATAGAATCCTCTGTGTTTAGGCTCTCTGCAGATAGCTCATATCCTCAGACATCTCTATTACATCTTAGACTGTACACTACATGATTGTTGACTTTTTTCCATGTCTAATATCTTATGTTATTCTTTTCTTGGTTGAGCAATGTACTGAGTAAATACTTTTGTCCACAAGAGAATGACTTGCTTAGTCAAATCTTGAAAATATCTTCTGGTTTATCCTTAGTGAATACTTGTATACTTCAATGTATATGTACTAAAAGTTGAAAACTTACAATGATTCATGAATTCAAAAAAATTTTAAAAACTTCTGATTATCACTGTTTACTTGCTCCTTGGAAATGAGATGACCCCACATCAGGAGATGTGGAACAGGGAGTAAGAAGAAAAATCACTGTCCTCTTTTGGTCTTTAGGCATGGATTGTTACTTTTCCACACCTTTGGAAGCATTTAATTTGTAAATTTTTTTAAAAATGCTAAAAACTTGACTCATCATCATTTATACCTCTGATTTGAGCTAAAATATTAAATAAAGATGGGGAAAATTATCACTAAGTCATATTGCTTTAGGATTATGAAACCTGATACTTAGGGCCACATTTTATAATAGAGTTAGATATAACTATTTGCCTGATTTTCTGATCAATAATTTTTATATTATTTCTTTTGAAATGTTGTGTCTTTTTCCAACTTAAAATGTAAAGAATAAAAAATGCTGATTATGTCACATTGAATTTTCCATAAATTTCCAGAGCAGCCACAAAGAAAAGTATGTTGAACTGTTCATTGTTGCTGATCAAATAATGGTAAGTTTTCAGATGATATTTCTCTTTTGCAGTATTTTTGTTGAACTTTAGTTGTGTTTCTTACACAGTGAGAAATGTTTTCTTATCACAGTGCAATGCTGTGGTTAAGTACCTGGTTGAGATGCCAGTATTTCATATTTGAGATGCCTATATTTGAGCCCCATTTCTAGTTAATGATCCTAGCTTCCAATTAATGCAAATCTGATAAGTCAGTGGTTATGCTCAAGTAACTGGATTCCTAACAGCTAAAAGAGAGACCTGGATTGAATTCCTGGCCCTTAGCTCACCCTGCGCCAGCCCTGACATTTGCACGAAGTTGGAGAGTAAACCTGCAGATGGCAGTGCCACGTCTGTCATCTTCTCTGACTCTTTGCCTCTCACTGAACAAATAAATAATTAAAACAAAAACAAAAGAATCCCAGAGATAATTCATGATAGTTTTCCAGAAATAAAGCAAGGATAAGTCAAGATATAATTGTGGCAGTTACAAAATATCAGAACAAAGAAAAGGCTTCATTTGGAACAAAGAGATGTATTATCCATTATTAGTGAATAAGTGATTCCCAGAAAAACATGAAATAATCTTCACGCACCCAACTACATAATATTTTAAAAATCAGTAAAACAACAAGACTAAAACAGAAACACAAGGTTTTGTTTGTTTGTTTGTTTGTTTGCTTTAGATTTACTCTATCAGAAAAATTGGTCAGAAAAGCAGATGCAAAGAGACAATTCTTCATACATTTCATAGTTATTATCACTCTCATAATAATGCAGCTGTTTTGTTTAGTGGTTCAGCTGATGGGCTGTTCTAAGGGCTCCTCAACTGCATGTGCGGTCTTTAGTATGCAGTTTCTGTTTGTCATGAGTCTCTAGGCTAGCCTTCAGATTCTACCATCATAGCTGAGCACAAAAACATTTAAAACAGAATAAGCATGGGACCAACACAATGGTCTAGTGGCTAAATAGTTACCTTGCACATGCTGGGATACAATATTGGCACCAGTTTGTGTCCTGGCTGCTCCATGTCCCATCCAGCTCCCTGCTTGTGCCTTGGGGAAGCAGTCAAGGACGGCGCCAAGCCTTGGGACCCTGCACCCACATGAGAGATTCTTAAGAATCTCCTGGCTCCTAGCTCAGCTCCAGCTGTTGTGGCCACTTGGTCCTAAAAATAGCTGTGAAGAATCCATCCACATCCAATAAAAGTTTGCATAGTAATAAAATTTTACTTCCATAAATTTTACCTTACTTTGACATTAATCAATATTTTTAAAGAAAACATATGGTAATCTCTCAAGCATCTCAAATATATATGTGCAAATGCTTCTATTTATGTGTATATATGTATACATATGTAAATTTATGGGAGTATTTATGTACATGTGTGTATACATAGAGAGAATGAGTGTGTGTATCTATATATGTGTGTGCATTAGTGATAAAATGCTTTGCAGATAAACAGTGGAAGAAAATACAGGACACTTAATCACTTCCTGTTCTATATAAACATTAAAGTTAGTAACAAAAATATTAGAAATTTTCCTCAAAATTGAGAAGATAAATTTTTTCAACATTACAATTGATACTTCTAGAGTATTAATAAGCAAAAAAGAAAGCCTTATGCCCTTTCAAAAGAAAGGTACATTTTAACACATTAAAAAACAGAGGAAACTACAAATTAATCTATCAAAATCTTAATGCGTTAGTTCTAGACAGTAAATCATTAACTTTCATTCACATATTCATGAGAACACTAATGCTTGCTGAGAATGAGAAAACTTTATGTATTCATATTCCTATTTAAAAGGTAGAGTTACAGAGAAATAGGGAGAAATAGAGATGACTTCCAATCACTGTTCCCTCCCAGACAACCACAACATCCAGGGCTGGGTCAGGCCACAACCAGTAACCAGGAATATCATCCAGGTCTCCATATGGGAGACCCTCCATCCAGGGCTCTCTGCCCTCTCGGGTGCATTAGCACGGTGCAGGAAGGGAAGAGAAGTAGCTGGGATTTGAGTAAGTGCTCCTATGGAATGCTGTCATCCCAGGTAGTGGTTAATGGCTACAGGTTAACCTTTACTTGTAGTGCCAGCTTGGAAAACCCTGTTTTAACAACGCGTTTATTAGTAAAGGCTAACAACAGGTTCTTAAAAACCGACTATTAGAAAGAGCATTCCAGGCAGAAAGAGTAGAAAAATGAAAGCAATCGTTTGGAAACATGGTGAAGAATTCATGTGTCTAAACAGGATAATGAGGGGGAAGACATGGTTAGAATGTACCAGCATTGGAGCCACCAACTTGAAAGGGAAGAATAGAACACGAATGTCTGATCCCAGGGAACACCAACCTTTTAGTCAATGTTTGACAACAGGACTGCAAAGGTCACACCTACATGCATCCCCATGGCTGCAAGTCACTGTTTGATAAAGCACCTCTTCCTGTAGATTGCTTGGATTCCCTCAAAATCTGGTTTATTGCATACTTATACTTTGTGATAACATGAACATGGAATGGTTGATGAGGTTGCTTGTAATTCAGTGATTACTAGGAACTTTAACAGATGCCATTTCATATTATTATTAGTTTTATTTTTACTATTAAATGAGACAGTTCCATAGGTTCTGGGATTTCTTCTTCCACCCACCTCACTCCCCCTCACCTGTACTGTTTTCCCCTAGAAGATTACAATACTAAAGTCCGTCAGCAACAGTCACAAGTGCATCCTTCTTCTATTTAAGTGTATCCTGACATTGTAGCTATAGATAACATTAGAAACTCCAGCATTGTATTATCAAGATATGTTTAACAGTTTCATTGGCATTAAATCTTCTACTGGTGAGTAAAAGATACTGCAATGTCTCTTCACATGATAAATTTTAAACCACTAACCAATCAGCTTATCAACCCATACAATGTAATATGATAAGGGACAGAGTTAGAAAGAAAAACCTAAAGTAGCAATACGAAAGCATGTCTTTTATAGACTGCTGTACCTGGTTATTTCATCTAGAATATATTTCTGTACACTCTCACTTTTCAGTAAATCCAAAGAGACTTCTTCTTCCTTGTTCCAATTAGTTTGTTACATCTCACAATGGATGAAACATTTTATTGAATTACTATTCAATTGCTATTATTAATGAATACTGATATGTTTTTATTTCCAGTACCGTAGGAACAGTCATCCACATGATAAACTAAGACACCGAATTTGGGGAATGGTCAATTTTATCAACTTGGTAAGGTTTGAAATCGTTTTTAATCAAATTGAAAATACAAAGAAAAGTTTAGAATAGTTATCATCTATTGTAATATTCACCCGGATATTGATATACCCAAACCAAAGATCATCCAATAAATTAGGTAAAAATTCATTTAAAACAATAGCAACAAACCCCAGCTCTTTTTGTTTCAAAAAAAAAAATGTCAGTTGGTATTTAAGTAAGTTTAAAATACTAGTACCTAATCACAAAATGTATGAAGCTGTATACAAAAAAAAAAAAAATCTCTCTGCTGTAATTCTCAGTACTCCACAAAACTGCATTATAAAATTCTTTCATGTTACAACTCACTGCTTATAGTTTGGCACAGAAATCAGGATAACTTTCAAAAACTATATTGAAATCATCAGTATATTTATATTATAATGGACTACAACACTTGTTACACTGAGAACTACACATTTTTTTCTTTTGCTGACACCTACGACTTCTACATATCCTGCTAGTATAAAGTGGCCCCAGAGGAAGACACTGTATGGAATGTTTCCTGTAGATCAATGGTCACCCATTCAACAGTTATTGGGAATTTGCTTGGTCTATAGTTTTGAGCTGCTCTGAAAACACTGTTTTATATATGTGTACAAAGTTGTATGAAAATAAAATTGCATATATGATATATAAACAGAAATTGGAATGCTGTTGTGCAGAAAATGGGTGCCTGATTTCTTACGTACTTCACACACATTTTTAACATCTCTGGTGCCTCTTTCATTAAGTGATTATATACTAGGTACTATTAAACCTGCAAATACTTGGGGATTTAAAAAATACATCATAGGTTATCTATTTTTAATTTTCCTTGCTTTAGCACTATACATTATTGAGTATTTGGTTTTAATTCTTTTTAAACTTGTTGAGGTTTGTTTTATGGCCCTAGATCTGATTTATCATAGAGAATATTTATGCATACTTGCAAAGCAAATTAGTATTCTAATTTTGCTGGCTACTGTTTATTATACATATCAATTATGCCAAGTCGATTAATAGTAGTTTTTGGATCTTTGGTATCCTTGCTGATGTTGCATTTATTATACTAATCATTGAACTGAGGGTGTAGAATTCTTTGTCTATAGAGGTAGGTCTGTCTCTCCTTTTGTTCTAGCTTCTGCTTGATGCATTTTGAAGCTCCCCTTTAACTGTCCTCTTGGTAACTAACCAATTTATACCGTAACATGTATCTGTACACTTTGTTCCTAGGCCTACTTCTGAAACAAATTCAACTACCTTTCATTAGATTTCTGTGTATAGCTCCTGCTTTCCTTTTCACTTAAATTCTATTCCCCTTTAATCCTTGATGATCTGTTTTAACATTGCTGTGCTTATATAACATTTATTGAATGTAATTTTGATATTATTGGATTAGTGCTTTTCATTTTGTTAGATATTTTTACTTTGTTTACATTTTTTCTTTTTTTCTTTATCATTTGTACTGGCTGATTTTGACTTGAGAATTTCTTATTCCTTTTTATGTGTATGATTCATTTATTAAAAACATTTTTAATTTAACTATAGGTTTGCAAAGTAAGTTTCAAAAAAGTAAACTTCTTATTCTACTATACCACTTAGTAGCTATGATTTTATTTACCCCACCTCCAATTGCTGATAATATTCCCATATATTTTTAAATAGATACTATTATTTAGGAACATCTTCTATTTAGCAAAAAAAAAACCCTGAAAATCTGCTATGAAGTACACTCTATATGCCACATTCAGGTTAAGAAAAATGGGATGTAAACATAATTTATTAGAATCAGAATGAAATTAGTTACATTCTCTTATAGTATTGTATAAATGATTCTTCCATTCCTGCTTTCTACTCAGTGTTTGTAGTTTATCATTAGCTTTCATTCCACTAGGTTAAACTTTTCCTATGTGCTGGCATTAACTTTATCAACTGATGTTTACAATCACCTAGAAAGGAAATAAGAAGGCCTGTGGGCTACAACTATTACTGCCCAGTAATGCTGCTCAGACACGCCAGGGGATTATTAAGGACAAACAGGGAACCTTGCTATGGTTTTGAAAACAAATGCCAACTGCCTCATCTTGAATAGAGCTCACTCCTGGCCTAAACAGAGATGAACAAAGAATGTGCATTTCCCTAGCCCCACTATTACTGAATCCACACCTCAGCTGAATTACTGTCTTGGAGCTTTAACACATTATTTCTTGTAGACACATGTTGAGACAAGAGCTAGAGCTTAGAAGTCTAATGATAGTTCAAGGAGAATCAGACATTTGGATCAAATTTCTTTGTTGGCCATGGATACTGACTTAATATTCTGAGAAATGTATTGAGTATTCCATTTTAATGTATCTCTTTGTAAAATGAGATCTGCATTGTATATTTACATGCCTCCCAAGTGCATATTTCTGTGACATCTGGATGGTGGAGGATGTGTATAAAGGAATAGATAGGGTAGTGACAGATCCTTTTATAAACTCGACTTTGTGAAAAAGTTTCTTCTTTGAGCAGATTTATAAAACCTTAAGGATCCACGTGACGTTGGTTGGCATTGAAATATGGACAAAAGGAGACAAAATAAAACTAGATTCAAATATAAAAACTACCTTATCACGTTTTTCATCCTGGCAAGAAACAACCCTCAAAAAAAGAAAACATTTTGATCATGCTATTTTACTCAGGTATGTGACCACTCTAAGTCCTTAAGTGGATATTTTAAAGGACAAGTGATAACAACAACAAAATCTTTTAAAAGATTTCTTACTTATTTGAAATCAGAATTTCAGAGATTAAGAGGGGGGTGGCGATCTTCTATTGGCTGGTTCCAGTACTGGGCCAGGCTGAAGCCAGGAGCTTCATCCAGGTGCACCCACTTTTGTGGCTGGGGCTCAAACACTTTGTCCATCTCTCGCTGCTTTTTCTGTGCAAGCAGGATAATTCCCAAACCCTCCCATGGGATCCTGGAATAGCAGATTGGGGCTTTACTTTTTATACCATAATTCTACCCCGCAAAATGAATCACTTAGTGTGACTTTTGGTTACAATAAAGACACAATGTTGTTTCTAGCTCCACAGAAAATCTCTAAGTGTGCTACTTAATTTTTTTTTTTTGCATTAAGGAAAACTAGAAAGAAAAATTCGGTATGTTGACATCCCTGGGAATAGTTGAAAATGCCATTAATAAGAAAACTACCTAGCAGCATCATTAGCATTCCAGTGCTGCTCCACAGCCTGCCTTTCTAGGAAGATCCTCACTCTGATACTACTGTGCCTAGTCAGTTACCAACCATTCAAGGCCATTTTTTCTGCTACATAAATATAGATACAACCAATGTGATAATTCAAGCTTGCCATAGTATTCATATTCCCACCTGAAAGTCTGGGTTTGTTTAGATTACTAAGTCAATAATTGTATTTCAAGGAGAGCCATTTCAAATTTATTTTGTATTCAAAATATCAAAAAGAGTCCTGAGGCTAGAGAGAAATATGATAAATAATTGTGGGACTTCATCATATAACTAACCTTACGTTCAGCATAGTCCTGATATCCTAAGGAACGTTAAATTGTGGGAGAATTATTTAAGAGCAATGACTTCACTCAGCATTTCTTCCAATGACCCTGGAGTCACTGTATTATGGTGATACTCTATTTGACCCATAATTATCCATATTTTGGCTAACATCTCTAAATACAGCCTGCTAACCTTCCTTCTAGTATTATCTATATAGTAACTTTCACTCAGAATTCAGAAACATGGAGCTTCCAACACCTGTGATACAACATTAGGTTTACTGTTTTAGCATATTAATGAGAGAAAATAATACATACAAGGTAATAGGTCTCCATAATTGTGGAGAGATGGAAGATAGTGAAATCTCACCATAAACCTCATAGTGCATAGATTAACCCTGTGCCCCTTCCTTGTACATGAATCTGAAAATATTTGTGTAAATAACTCCAAAACTAATTAAAAATGGGCATAAGTAATAAACTTTCTACTTATACAAAGTATTTCTTATAGCATTTCAACATAGGATGTGTATATAAATGATAAGATGGACGAAGATGCTACAACAGGTCCAAGTAGACATCATATTTGGGAATTTTTAAATATTGAGTTTCTTGTGCAGCTTATCTTCTTTATTAGTAATGAATTAGAAATGCTGATGATCTCCATGGAATTATCATGCTGGTACTTCCTTGTCGCCACGAAAGAAGCTGGACACTAAACTGCTCTTCTCTCAAGATTCTCAGTGTCTACAAAGACTAGAATTTTAAGTCCCTGCAAGAAGTGTACTCAAATTCTGACAAAAAGCACCATTTATCCTTCTACCCCTCTTATACTTCAATCTCATCACATCCTAGTGATGTGCTCCAACTTTGTATATTTCCATTTGAAATGATCCAACTCTAAATGCTGTCCTTTTTCAAACCCGGTTATAATCCCTATAATATACACATCGACATTTGTCTTTTCAGATAATAATTTAGGAATGATTCTTTTTTTCCCAGTATCACTTATAAAAATTATTTTTTAAATAATTGACTTAAAATTTTTATTAATAACAATTGTACAAAATTATGGCCTACAATGTGATATTTCAACTTATGGGTACAAATATACCAATAAAAATATTTATCTTTGCTGATATTACTTTGTCTGGAGGCTGGAAGAAATTTAGAAAAAAAAATTGTATTGTCATTATTAAATTTTTCCTGAGTTCCCATAGTTGATTAAAATTCTTAAAAATATGACTAATCGATATTATTAAGTCTACTAACCGTGCTGCATTTTTTTTAACCCTCTGAACACTTATAAATTTTTGTCTTGTAATTGGTCCTATCCAGATCTGAGAGCAAAGCAAGCTAGAATTCAGTCAAATTGGTTCTAACTTTTCTGCTTGCAAAAATTTCAATTTAAGATTAAATTGGCTTATTCAGGTTCTCTAATATATTACACGTTTAAAGTAAGCTCTTTAAAAGCGAAGTACATCCTAAATACCAGAGTACCAGAAATAAAAAGACACTTCCACATGCCAAGGAATTAATGTAGTGATGGTTCACTGTACTGCTATCTTTGTGCTAATGAAAGTGGTAACTCCGATTGAAGAGTGTCTCTGTATCTTGTGTAGTGGGCAGTGGCTCTACACGAACGCCCAAGGAAATTCTTACCCAAAGGGTATGTGCCTGCCTAACTTCTCTGTCAGCATAGTCAAGGTAGGTTATATTTTATTTATGTTCTGTTACGTAATAGAATTTTAAACATTTCCATGTTACATGCTCCTTTGAAAGAAACCTGTAAATTTTGCCTCAGCTCTGACCATTGCTGCCATTTGGGGAGTCAACCAGCAGATGGCAGACTTCTTTTTCTGTCTCTCCTCTCTGTAAAAATTTACCCTTCAAATAAAAATAAGTAAAGCTTTTAAAGAAAAACAATCTGAGATGCAGAGGAGGGAGGCATTAAGATGATGATGTGTCAAATAGGTACTAATGAACTAGTTTGAGCAACAGACCAAAAACTACCTACTAGAATGAGCTCTCTGTTAAACATTTCTAACATATATTTTCTTAAACCAGGATCTCTTACCTGACATGAATATAGTTGCAAACAGGATGGCACATCAGTTAGGACATAACCTTGGGATGAGCCACGATGCATTCCCATGCACCTGTCCATTGGGAAAATGTGTGATGGATATGAGTGGAAGGTAAGGATCCAACATTATAGAGAATACCTTCAATATTTTGCAGGAGGATTTTGGGTTAAACTTCATTATTGTGGGCATAAATCATTCTTCAGTGAAATTCTCTGGAAAATCTATAATAAAACCTGGCACAGTAAGGAGTTTCCCATATTGAGGCTAAATCTAAACTCTGTTGTGTGTGTGTCTCTTTTCAGTGCTATAATGAAAAAATGTATATTTCAAAGTCAGTTAGCACACACATTCATACACACACAAACCCAGATGGAGAGAGAGACTGACAGACAGATGGCTAGACATCTTCCACCTTGTGGTTTACTCCCCAGAAGACTGCAATGGCTATGGCTGGGCCAGAACGAAGGCAGGATCCAGAACCTTCATCTAGAACTCACACATGGGTATCAAGGGTCCAAACACTTGAGCCATTTCTGCTGCACTTCCCAGACCATTAGCAGGAAGCTGGATGGAAAGTGGAGCAGCCAAGACACAAACCATCCCTCAAACAGGGTGCAGGTGTCACAGGCTATGGCTTTACCTGCTATGCCACAATGCTGGCTCCAGTGAAATTCTAAAACTCCATGGGGGTTTATGGTAAAGGTACGCTATGATGCACTAGCATTGATCTCCACCAAGGTGCTTCAATAGGAATAAACACTCTGTGCCTCGTTTTGTCGGCTTTTTCTAAATACTGTCATTCCCTCCCCCACATGTTTACTTAAATATCAATTTAAGCAAAGCCTTTCTGAATCCCTAATCAAACTCTTTAATTGTGTCTGTCACACATTTGTTCTGGCATTTTCCACCCTCCCCCTTTTGTGTTTTCTGTTTTCCTTAGTACTTATCACTATCTTTGAGTTTTTGCTTCACTCATTTAGCTTGTTTAATGTTTCACTTGTCCAGTAGCACAGAAGGTGCGTGCCTTCAGAGGACTTGGCAACTTTTCCAAGCACTCCTCAGGATAGGTAATTCATCAATAGTCACAGAATGAATAACATCCACTGTCTGTCAAGCCTGTGAATTTTCAAGTGGTCAGGTCCACGTGAGCCAATCTGAACCCCTTTACAGCAGATGCACTTAATGTATTGGATGCATTAAGAATAGTGTATGTTAGTAATGAGCAGTGCTTCCACACACCGAGCAAATGAAATCAAGGAGCCGATACATGTGAACCAACTGACTGGATTACAGTTGGAACCTGGTACTAGGTTCTAATATCATTGAATCATCTATATAATTCATAACATCTCAGAGTTCTACCATCCCTTGCTAATATAACCCAGACTATAAAAATCCTTCACTATCCAATCAGTGCATCAATAACAATGTAAAGGGAGTCAAAACAGAGAGCGGAGGGAAAGAAGGTGCATCTTACTGGCGAAGGATGTACGTTACATTCTTTATGTATGAAATCAATAATCTTATCTCAAAACCTATTTATAAAAGACTGCTGTATTTCTAGTGTTCTGTTAATTAGTGTTTGATTTTTAAGTGAGCACATTATAGTCCCTTGGTTTGAGAAGTTTGTGATTTTGAAAGGATGATAAACAATTATTTTTTTTTAAAGATTTATTTTTATTATTTTGTTATTGGAAAGGCGGATATACAGAGAGGAGAGACAGAGAGGAAGATCTTCCATCCGATGATTCACTCCCCAAGTGAGCGCAACGGGTCGATACTACGCCGATCCGAAGCCAGGAGCCTCTTCCGGGTCTCCCACGCGGGTGCAGGTTCCCAAAGCTTTGGGCCGTCCTCGACTGCTTTCCCAGGCCACAAGCAGGGAACTGGAAGGGAAGCGGGGCTGCCGGGATTAGAACCGGCGCCCATATGGGATCCCGGGCGTGCAAGGCAAGGACCTTTAACCACTTGCGCCACCGCGCCGGGCCCGATGATAAACAATTATATAGGTTGTTTCAGGAGCAGCAAATTAAAAGGTACCATAGAACAATAGTGCAGAAAACCCATCTAAATTGTGAGTTTCAGGAAGCGCTTATAACCAGAACATTTTCATGGAAGCTGAATGTATTGACTGTGTTTTGTGAAAATACTTCAAATACTATGCATGCCAGTTATTGATCTACTCTAATGCTGAATGCTTAAATTTGCTCTTTGTAAACTCTTAATGAAACTTTCATAATTGCTGTATCAATCTGTATCAACAGCGTTCATCTTTATGCTTACTTCATCTCATTTCTAGCATTCCTGCATTTAAATTTAGTAAATGCAGCCAACGCCAGTACAAGCAATACCTGAAGGATTATAAGCCAATGTGCATGCTCGATGTCCCGTTTCCTGACAATCCATATGGTGCCCCGTATTGTGGGAACAAGAAGGTGGATGAGGGAGAAGAGTGCGACTGTGGCCCTGTTAAGGTACTTGCACGTGACTCTGTGTTTCAATTACAAAGCTCTGCTCAGCTGGGTCTGAGGCAGGCACACAACCTTTACTCACAGAAAGCAAGATGGTCCTTTGAAGGCTTTCAAATCCTGTGCTTTTCAGTCCCTGGGTGCAGCCAAACCCTAAGCTGTGTTTAATTAGCTTGCTAAGAGTTAGCAACATCATACTGGCCTGATTTAAATAACTGGCTCATTGTATGAGACTTGCCAATGGTATCATTACCTTGTGAGCAAAATAGGAACCTGCTCTACAACATCTTCACAGCCAGTTGACAGAGTTTTATTGAGGCCTTAGCAGCCAGCTGTATCACAGCTGAACAGGTCCCCTTAGTAGGAACTCTGTCTGGATAGAAAACAAGCTTTCAAACCCCCTCATGCAATGTTTTGAGAAAAAAAAAATGTTTAAGTAATTCTTACTATTTTTCCCAAATATAGAAATTACTTCTTTCAGGAATGCATCAGATATGCATGTGTCCTAGACAAGAACTACCAAATTTAACAATGTGTATAAATCACTAGAGACATTGTTAAAAAGTAGGGCCTGGTTTCCTGAACATGGAATGGGGCTGAAGGCTTGCAGGTCCACATAGCTGCAACATTCTGCTGATACTGTCATGGCTCAATTCCAAAGAGACATGATAGGCTATAAATATGGAACTCTATAATTGGAGTAGAGATAATGACCCATCCAGTGATGGTAAGACTAATCTTCAAATGTCTGGTTAAACGTGAAGACATTATTACTTTCCGTAACATATTCTCTTGCCCATGTGGATTCTTTGTAATGCTTTTACTGTTTAACTCAGAAAATATTTGCCTGACAAGTTCACACAATTTTCTTTGCTGTAGTAGTTTTGTTCAATTACATGAGGCCTAAGTGATAATCTTGATATTACTTTTTCATGAAATTTTTAAGAAAAGCAAGGTCATCCTGAACTACTTGGCCTCCTGAGGAACATAAAATCATATCTTCAGAAGTTGTATTAAACCACATCAGCTTCACCACAGGGAAATGACTGGGCCCTCCAGGGAATGGAAGTCATCACGAGAAGGGAAGCTCATGAACATCAGACTCTGATTTTGCCAATTAGATTCATCAACTGTGGAATATTCAACCGACACAGAGGAAGGATACCCTGAAAATCCCAAACACTAGTTCCAAATAGTAATCGTATTCTAGAGTCTCTGATCTATATTCCATTTAGATTATACAGAAGCAAAACTAATTAGTGCCTCATCAGAAGCCAGAGTACAAAACAAATTATGATCTTTATTTTCTGACTCTTGCCAGGAGTGCAGTGATCCTTGCTGTGAACCCCACACATGCTTATTAAAGCAAGGATATACTTGTGCAGAAGGAGAGTGCTGTGAATCTTGTCAGGTAAGATCCTGTACTGGAAGAGGGGATTTGTTTGTTCTTTGTTTAAGTATATGTAGTACCAAAGAGTTGTCTGGCATTTGGATAACCCTGTAGTACTAATTACAGAAAAGGATGAGGCTTCCAAATATCCAAGAGTATCTCTGCGATATGCTTCAACTTCTGAGCATGGGATAGTGCCATGATAAGTAGTACTCAATATATCTGCAGTAAAATCACAAGAGCAACACTAGGTTTTCTCTTCTGTCAATCATTACCAATCTATTTACCCTTAATTAGGAGGACAACTGAAATCCCAAAGCCAGTGAGATTAAAAGGAAAAGGGATTAGGAAACTGTAGTGGCTTGCAGATGGAGAAACACTCCTAGGAAAGAAATCTAAAGGAATCAGTTTTTAAGGGCTTCTGGATACCTTTTTCAGCTCCCTCTGTATTGTGAACTGACCAAAGAAAGAAATATGTCTTCTACATCTCTGAGCATGTTCAAGGACTGATTGATAAAATATACCAATCAATTCTCCCCAGCAATAAGAGTACATACCCAGTTCATGTGAAGGTATCTGATGCCCAGGAAATGGAGAGTCCTCACTAGAAACAGTGGTTCCTAACTTGGTGGTGAGGAATACGCAGACTTGAGCAAGAGATGAAGAGAAGAGAAAATGGATGAGAGCTCCTGTCGGGTCCTCTGTTTTGTCCATTCTAACTTTACGTTAGGCTGTTCTAACTCCCAAGTCTCAAAATTACCACTTCGTTGTTGTTAAAATTGCATTAAAATCCAAGGTGCAAATAATAATTCTCAGTGAAACAGAGAAGAAAATAAGAATCAACCTTTATAAGGTTTTCTGCTTCAAGAAAAATTAAATGGGTCATTTTTTTAAAGATACATTAATATCTTAATGTATTCAGATTCAATCTGGTTTTTTGTTTTGTTTTGTTTGTTTATAACAGTTGAAGAAAGCAGGGTCTCTGTGCCGACCAGCAAAAGATGACTGTGATTTACCTGAAGTGTGTAGTGGCCACTCCCCTGAGTGTCCTAAGGATCAATTCCAAGTCAATGGATCTCCTTGCAAGAACCAAGAAGGGTACTGCTTCATGGGGAAATGTCCTACTCGGGATGAACAGTGTTCTGAATTGTTTGATGATGGTAAGAAACAATAAGAGTGAATGACTGATAAAGAAACCAACTTGTATTTCTATATTATTGTGCTGAAAACACATAGAGCAAGACTGGAGTCGATATATTCCGTGGAAGTCTCCCAAGATACTATCTAAAATTTTTCTGGATGTTATCTCTAATATCTGCTGAATTTGTCTGTGCTCCTAATTTGCTAGCTCAGTATGAGTACATGAACTAATGTATATTTGCTGTTTTCTAATATATCCACTCTTCCCTAAAATATTCTGATGATACAATAAGATAATTTAATGTTCTATATTTATTCCACTGTGTGTCACCACTCTATCAGTGGATACTAAAAAGTCACATGTAACCGAAAAATAAGGTCTTTGAAGATTTGTGGTGCTTATGCCTTCATTGTTTTATTTGCATGATATCACTTTGCATCCTAGGGGCAAAAGAGAGTGCTGATATATGCTATAAGATGAATAAAAAAGGAAATAAATTTGGATACTGCAGAAGTGAAGAAAACAAATTAGTCCCTTGTGAAGACAAGTAAGTGCTCTGTGAAACAAAGTAAGCGTCCTTTAACAGTGTTTGATAAAATCAGAAGGGTTCCAGGTCCAGTTCTGACACCTGCCAACTTTTATGGAGAGGACATTAGGAAAAGAGGGCAGCAGGAAGGGAGAGAGCACACATCCCTGAGAGTGCTGGCTGGTGTCTAAATGCTGCATTCATCTGTTGAAGATCATGGAACCTAAGGAACAAAGGCGGGGGTCAGGGGGGACATAAGATGCTTAGAAAAGGAGGAAACTAATGCTAATAGAAGAATGGGCAAACAAGAAAAGGTGGGAAATACATTGAAAAAAGAAAGCAGGAAGTGAAGAAGTGAGTCATACAGAGAAAGGTAGAAATTGGCATTAGAAGAGGGGAGGAACTGAATACTAGATTTGGCCTAGAAATACATAGCAGAGCCATGCTCCCAAGGTTGGTATTGACACTCCCTATGCCTTTTCAAAGATATCACAGACTGAAAACCACCACCATCGTCATCTACGGACAAGATCAGCTTTAAGGCTAGAGAGAGTGAAAATCATCTCCCCTACTTTCAGTGACATCTTGGTCTGTAAAATGGGAATTGGAACAACAGCAACCTTGCTAGTTGTTAGAATGAACTGATGTGTTCCATGCATGGAAGCTTATGAAATAACTCATGGTGTCCTGGTGAAAGTAGTGGTAACTCAGATTACACAAAGATAAAAACATGCTTCCGTAAACTTGAGCAAATGCTATCTGTGAAAATCACAAAGAAAGTAAAAGGCAGTATTATCTTTTACAGTCCTTATCTACTTAACTATGTTCCCAGGGCCACCTTCTAAGTGTGCAATGTTTTCTTCTGCCTGTTCTGGCCCCTTGATCCTGATGACAAACCTGGTTTAGAACAAGTCACCAGGCTACCTCACAAGAGCCTAATCTACAAAGTTGCATTTCTGGTCTCAAGTCTGAGAACGCCTTCCTTTCCCTCAGAGATATCAAGTGTGGGAAGATATACTGTACAGGGGGACATCATTCCAATATCATCGGGGAATACAGGATCTACCACCTCACAGACGCAGAGCATAATGACACTGCTGAATGCAAAAGCAGGTTTTTATACTACAGCTCTAAAGATGTCGGACTGGTGTTTTCTGGAACCAAATGTGGAGACGGAATGGTAAGATGAAAGTCTTTTAAAAAAATTATTGGTTCAGCCACTTGAAAAAAAAAAAAAAACACTGGTTCTGATAATTGGATCTAGAGGGCCCTATAAATAAGAAAGCAGGAGAAAACGTAGCAAGTTCAACTTAAGCAGCAATTAATGTGTCTATAAAGTATTAGTCTTAACTTTTTCACTTTGTTCATTCAACAACACTGGCATTAAATATTGGGACCTATCATGATGCCAGGAACATATGATTTAAATATAAAGTTATCTGAAAACATTCACACATTAAATATTACACAGTGTTATTACAAAAGTGCTTTCATAATCCTGTGACCACTGTATATTTGAGGTTCAAATGAATAAGTGGTTGATTTTTGCTCCTGGAATATGGATAGAATTTTAAGTGAGTGACATTTTAGCTTTGACAGGATGAACAATGTTTTTCACACTGAGAAAATACTTTAAATTAACTTATTTCATAATTTTGAATTTATTTCTACTGATATATAATGACACACGTAAATGGATTACAATGACATGATACTTATATATAATGTGAGGCTCAAATCAGAGTAATTTTCTAACCACTTACAGCATTAATTTTTGTTTTGAGTCTTTCAAAATCTTTAACTATACTGATATATGCATTAAATTAATGTGCACTATACTCACCCAACTGATCTATGCAACACAAGAACCTAATTCTTCCCATCTCTCAGTGACTCCATATCTGTTATCCAACTCCTCCCTGTCCTCTCCCTTCCATGGCCCACCTTGGCCTCTGGTTATGCCAGTTCTAGTCTTTGCTGGGATCTAACAACTCCACATAGGAGAGAAATTGCACCATTTTTATTTGTATACCTGTCTTACATAACCTGACATCATGACCTCCAGGCTTATCTGTGTTGTTGCAAATGACAGGATTTCATTTTTTTTTTTTAAAGAATGAGTAACATTCTATTCATGTGCCCCCGGAAGAGCTGTTTCTTCAGTGAAGGGCTGGAGCAGAAGCACACCATTCATCATGGTGTCAGTTTTTCAGCTAATTTCTAATAAGTGAATTTATGAATAGTAAATGCCATTCAATGGATCACTGTATCATGATCCATACTAGCCAAGACACAGACGATAACTACTAATTTATGAATGGATATATAAAATGTGATATGCATACACACAAGCTTTAACCATCTGCCTCAGCTCAACAGAGTGTACAAAACTCCATTAAGAATGGTAGGTAAAGAAAAAAATGTGGCAACAATTGTCAAAGTCAACAAACGCAAATGAAGGAAACCAACCTGAGAAATACAGGGCATAACCCTGTGGAGCAAATGTACGCTTACAAAGAGTAAAACTGCTTAGAAAAAAAAGCTAGAAGTTCTAGAAAACTTTGTTAATGAAGTTATAAGTTGACAGCAAAAAATTAGTTGAAAGTCTCCATATTTCCCTTGCTTGTATATTTTCCTCATTACCAAAATACCTCTTCAGAGTAGTACATGTCTTAGGCAAGAGATAATATATACAGCGTTTCTCGGAAGATTATAACCACAGGTTATTAATAGATACAGACACTTTAGGATCTAACTGAGATGGACTAAATATTTCTTCTTTAGCTAAACTCATCTAAAACCACCCATTATGTAATAATGCAATAAATATAAGCAAAGGTCTTGAAAAGTGAGGAGAAAAACACAAGATGAGCTGGAGACCTCTAGACTCAGGAACCCCAAGACAGTCCCTTCCCCGGGTTTTTTTTTTTTTTTTTGCCTTCTATACATACGATAGGTTACATGCTAGATAGGCTCATGACTTGAAAATAAAGCACCAGGAAAATTTATTCTTTCTAGCCAAACAATCAGAAAAGGGTAAGTATTTTGGCAATATCCCCAATCCCAGCAAAACACCACTGGAAATTCAAGTCCTGTCTCACCAATATCAGCAAAGATTGTGTGGAGAACCTCCAGGTATAACAGATACTCTTCCAGGTGTAACAGATGCCCTCCTGCCCCCAAGTCGAAGGTTCAAAGGAAGCTTAAACAGGAGTTAGAACTTGTACCAAAATTCAGTGGTAATGAATCTCTCCAACCCCACTGTCCCATGAAAGCCCCACGAGCAGCCTAGCTTCCACACATGAGGCAGTAACTCTTTTCCCTAGCAGGCATGACTTTTGAGAAGGACTGCAAAAACAAAAGACTTCATAATATCCAGTGTCTCAAAATACCCCAGATATCCAGCATACAAATGGATGTCACTTCTTAAACAATGAATGAGGGAAACCTCAACTTGAATGAATGAAATCATCTGCCAATTGCTATAATAAAATGACACATAATTATAATTCTCTGATAAGGAATTTAAACCATCTATCAAATATATGCCAGAGAGAAAAATGTGTATGTATCTCAAAACAAACATTAAAGGTTCAGAAAAAATAAACAGGTGTAGCAGATATGAAAATATTAATAATTGTGTAGAAATTTTAAAACTGAAAAGTATAATGAAAAGTCAATATTTCACTGTTGAAAAGGACCAAGAAAAATGAACTTAAAGATAGAAGAAATGTAAATTATTCAATTTATAACACAAAGAAAAATTATTTTGAGCAATATTATAAAACTATTGATTTTATTATTTTAGTTATTCATTATTAATGCACATTGACAATGTCATTAAGATTTTTGAAATACTGAATGGCAGTATGGCAATTTTCATAAATCTAAAATCTTAATTTATTATAAAGATTTAATAATTAATGTTTCCATGTGCAATCACTCACCAAAAACTTACAGAAAATTTCTCCATCCACAGGGGATTCTACATGTGAAATTTCACAATAAAATCACATAAATTGTAGTGAAATCTTATGAGTAATATAGTATAATTTCATGTATTTCACATATATAGATACATGAAGTTTTTCACGTAATTAAAAGTCAATCTAATTCATCTCAGTTTTTTTTTCATTTGTAGGTGTGCAACAATGGTGAATGTGTAAATACTGAAGAAGCCTACAATGCAACCAAGTGCCCATCTCATTGCAATGACAATTCTGTAAGATTTGGCTGCTTTCTGAATTAATGTCTCACCAGCAACTAATTTTCGTAGTTTTATTCCTATGGCTGTTTGTGTGTGTGTGCATGCTGAAGTTTTAAACCAAATATACTTTTGATATGCATTTTTTCTTGTGTTACTAGTAAAAAGTAATCCAAAACAGCCAAACTTGATATTATCTGATATAGATATTGCCAGAATTGCAAGTTTATGATTTATTGCTGGATTGGTTATCTAGATCTAATCAGGTAAATGATAAAGTGTAAGCATGGTAAAATTCAATTCAATTGTTCACAAAAGTTCACAATTTTAAATTATAACAATGCCAACATTACCTTAAACTTTTGAAAAAAAAATAATAACTTTTGACTCAGTTGACACTGTTCAGTGCTAGTAATAACTGTTAGTGTTTGTAGAGATTACATTTCCTAAATCTGCATAATCAATAACAATCTATATAGAGTGACATGTATGTCAGACATTCTTTCAAGCAATGTATGGGAATGGGAATATATATAAAAAATATACATAAAACATTCCCATAAAACATATATATATATACACATTATATATCAGAATTTTGTGTACCCATATATGTATCTATATCAAAAAATACATACATAAACAAAAGTACTTTAAAACTTTTGTGAAAAATTGAATCTTTATATAAGATAAGTTTGTTTTGGTGAAAAAAAACTGCAACTATGCATGTTGAGTATCTTTAAAAAGTTCATGAAAATGCATTCTATGGATTCATGGATTTCAAAACTTTTTACATTAAAGTAGATCCATGTTTTAATTCTATTTTCCATAACCATCCGAAATACCCTCAGATACTTTTTAAACATTCTTAACTATCTTCAGAGAGAGCATTGCTGTGTGGTAGGAAAGCAGAGAAGCCCCAAATGAAGAAAGCCTTCTGCAGAGTCTGTGCTGCTAATCCTGATACTGCTCTCTGATGGGCTAAATATTGTAACACTGTACCACCACCATTACTGTTAGGCTTAAGTAGAGCCAGATCTTTGGCCAAAATATGTCCAATTCTGGCAAAATTCAGTCTGGAAAAATGAATCCTGTTGTCTTGTTCAGTTGTCTCAATTTCAGATCATTGTCAAATTGAGGTCAAAGGTTTTCTCCAAGGGTGATTCCCTCCTTAATTCTGCTTGTTCTCCTGCAACATTGCTTTTAGTATGAAGATTAGGAATCATGACAGAAGTGTGTGTACTGTGATTCATACAGAACTAGCAACAGGCAAGGTTAGGAGCAAAACAAAGCTTTGGTCAGTCATTGGGTCAAGTTCCGTGGTTGGTTGTTCTTCCAGGTGAATGACAGTGAACTGCAGTGTCCCTGTGTCAAAGGACAAGCTCTCCCAGATGTGGACGAAAACTTAAACCTTACCAGTGAGCATTCCAGAATATAGTATCTTAAATAGAACAAAAGTCTACCCAGTGAGAATTTTCTTTGTTTCCTTGTCTGCTATACAATTTTTATGCTTCTACATAGATGTATGGTATTATTATTAGTAGTATTTGCTTTCATTATTATTGTTATTGCTTTTTATATGTAAATTGAATTTACTGCAATGAATACTTTTTAGCTACATCTGGGTTAGATTGCTTAAGAATCCACAACACAATGCCTTTTCTACAGTTAAGAGCTGACAAGTAAAACTTTTGATCGCACTTCTTTTAAATATAATGGAACCATAGATTGAATGTCAACTGCTGATACCACTGATAAGTTACATATATTTGCTTATTTGCTTTTAGTGTATTTCAAGAAAGTCAACGGGGTGAGAATTGAAGATCCTTAGGAAAGTAAAATGAGGCAGCTACACTGAGTGCTAATTAATTCTCACTATCCTACGGTCAATATCCTGGCTGAAGTCGGATGTGTTTTCCCATTGCAGGTGTCTCCGTAATGGCTGTTGTGCTTATCATGGTTATTATTGGTGTTGGTGTTGTGATATTATTAGTTAAATACAAAAAATGTATTAAAATGAAGCAAAATCAGAGGTATGTCTGCATTTTCTAAGTACGGAGTGGGATCGATACACAGAAAGTAGAAGATAGAGGATAAGGAAAAAGTGTGATTCTTTTAGTAAACACTAGGTAAGAAATCCAGTAAATTAGGCTCTTACATATTTGCTAATATCCAAATGCTTATCCAGTGATTTCTGAACATCACTGCACACTAGAATCACCTAAGTATTTTTCCCCCCAAAATACTGTTATTAAATGCTCTCCAAGATACAGGTTTAATGGTTAAAGGGCAAAACATAAGTATGGTTATTTTAAATTCCTATAGATAATTTCATTTTTACCATTGGCGTATGTGGTCACTTGAGTCACTACTCATTTCCTTCCTGCCAGCCCATCTCGAGACACACTGGGAGTGGAGAACAAAGGGTACTTTGGCGAAGAGCAGCAGGTGAAGATTGATCCCATCTTATCTGATATCCATCCCCTGCAAGTAAGAAGCTCCCATTTGTAAAATGTGATTCATTGTAGAGGTATGTGATTAAAGTGGCACTAACCTTAGACTCGAGGAGGTGGGCAATGCCAGAAAGCCATTCTACATGGCTGCACACGAGTGAAGGTTTCCACCAACATATGGGGACAGGGAGAAGAGCAGAACTCAAAAACATCCAAGACATCACCAACATTACTGCAGAGCAGCATGTGTTAGCTGCACAGCCTACTGATCTGTGCACCTGTGGGAGATCTTACAGGTGTAAACCACACCTGGGCCACAGAGCAGAATCTTCAGCTTTAACAGTTCAGTCACACAAGATAGGTTTTCAAAATAAAATCATGTAAAAAAAAAATCAGTGATACAATATTGGAGAAAACAGCACTATAGGCTTTATATAAGAATCTCAAGAAGAAGTATTTGCTGAGAAGTTTAAATGAGAAGATGTATGTAAAAGTACTCAGTACAGTATTATGCATATATTTAACATTTAATATGAGTTCATTATCTTCTATGTCTCATGTGCTGCTGTAATTATTTTCCTAATCATGTTTCTCTTACATGAATACATACATCACTGACACTGCTAGAGAGAGGAGTCACATAGAGGTGGCCTGAGCATGTGATCACAACAGTTGCAGAAGCCAACCAGCAGTACAATTACAGCCTGGGAAAAACTGGTTACATTTCTATATAGTTAACTCCCTTGAGGATGTTTGGCTTTTTTGTTAAATGAGGGCAGTCAGAAGGGAAGCTTAATGGGTATGTGTTGAATATATTAACACATCCAATTTCTTACTGGTGGCATAAACACCAAGGTATAATAGAAACATAAATTGTTTAAGGAAGCTTCAGCCCTCAAGTACCGTGTTTCAAGCTTCTGTATTTGGCACAACATATTAATAATAATGGTTTAACTGATGCATGCTTAACACATTAGTTTTCATTAGATACTAGCCCTCAGCAAAGCTTTGGTTTGGGGAAGATACTTCTTTGATTGTCTTTCCCAGCTACATTAATGTCTGTAACCCACCCCAACCCTGGAGTCTAGGGTCTCTTCCAAGCCCTGTTTGCACTGGACCATGCCAGTTGTATTAGTGACCATGGTGGGACTGTACAGGGTGGGGTGGGATGGGTAGCCAAGGATAACTTTCTAAGGCACATGTGCATTTTAACAGGAAGCTGTGGAGTTCTCCAAGATGCATCTAAGTCTCCAGCAGTTTAGCTGGCTGTAGAATTTCAGACCCATAGACAGAAATTTTCAGATTCAAGATAACAGATCTGTCTGTTATATAATATAAAAGTCATAATATAAAAACACTCACTCTTCTCACAGATGCTTTTATTTTATCTCTAAAATCTTAGCTTCATCTAGTGCAAAACAACCATCTATGGAAGAATAGTGTCTCTATAACTATATATTCCAAGGATACCTGCGAAAGATATTATATGGCTTCAAGAAATAGACATACCTGTTTGAGTCCATTGTAGATTAACAGTCTCTCTTCTTAACCAGGAAAGAGCTGAAGAGTCGGTGGAGAACCTTCCAGTCAGCTTTTCAAGTCCCCACTACATCACCTTGGTATGTCCCTGCCTTTCTCTGTTCATTGGGCTGGTCCAATTCCAGTGCAATGATAATTTTGAGGCCTCTTCAACATTGTTGGGATTTTTGAAAGACCCAAGAATAGAACATAGCTGCCTGATTTGAAGTAGAAATAGGACACTGGCATATTTATATTTTTTTACTGATTTATTTCATTATTTTCATTTCATTTGAAAGTCAGAGAGACAGACAGAGAGGATTACTGGGTACTGGTTAACTCTCCAGTGGCACAAACTACCAGTGCAAAGGCAGCCATTGAGAACCCAGGCTGGACCTCTCAGGTAGGCAGAAAAACCTACATATTTTAGCCATCACCTGCAGCGTCATATGTGCATTAGCAGGAAGCTGGAATCAGGAAGAGAACCAGGACTCAATATGCGATACATAGATCCCATGTGGCATCACAACGGCTGTCCTAACAGCTCACAGCTGTAGAGATGTGTTTTTTTTTTTTTAACAGATTAAAGTGTGGAGGAGACAAACAAGTCTTGGGGCTGACTGTCTTTCTTTAACATGGTGGCACTGCATCCAGCAGGAATTCTGTTTGCAGTCTGTTGATAAACAAAAGCCACACTGATTTTGCCTTGGTCACAAACCATTCCTGTGGGGGTGTAAAATGTAATGTTGTGTTTTCAAGGACATGACCAGCCTGAGACCTTCAGAACCCTCATTTACTCAAAGTGGCATGTACCTGCATCATTCCTTACGAGAGAGGAAGAAATTAGCCGAAGCAAATGAGACTGAGGAAAATGAATAAATAAGTAAATCTTACACAATCACTAGGAATCCAAATGGAATGGAGTTTCTATATGGGCTTCCTCAATAGCATGTCTTCTCATAGAACACTTTTTACTCCACCGTCTGCACAAAATGTAGCAAGTCTCAACTCTCCCTTTATAAAATCAACAATTCTAAATAAGCTTTATTTATGAATGACTAAAAGCTACAATTAGAGTGATTTTCAGCGTATGGTTTCACAGAGTTCTCAAGGCATACAAAAAAAACCTTCCTACATGCCAGAGGATAGCTGCAGGACTAAGTGAGAATATCTACTGCCCCCCACTGAACCACCGAAGTTAACTTTTATCAATCGGTTTCACTGAGATTCCAATAAATACAATGTGAATGGAAAGCCCTAAGGGGTTTGAAAGCCAGATTTACAGAGAGAAGCAGATACAGAGAGGAAGATCTTCCATCTACTGGTTCACTCCCCAGTGACACCAATGGCCAGAGCTGAGCTGATCCGAAGACAAGAGCTTCTTCTGGGCCTCCCGTGTGGGTTCAACATCCCAAGGCCTAGGGACATCCTCTATTGCTTTCGTAGGTCACAAGCAGGGAGCTGGACTGGAAGTGGAGCAGCCAGAACAGGATCTGGCGCCCACATGGGATCCTGGTGCATGTGGAGAATTTAGCCACTAAGCTATCATACCAGGCCTGGAAGCCCTAAATTTTAATAATGGTTTTAAATTCCTTTCCTAATACATTCTATAAGAAATTCACATTCTGGAAAGCACAGTCATTTATGATAAAACTACTTAACCAGATCAATCTCCTGCCACTCCTGCCATCCCATACCAGTTTAAGAACTGTCAGATTTCTCATAAGGGAGAAGAGTGGTCTGCCTGTGGATATGTGCCATAAGTATGTGCACAGTTCATCATACAACAGAATTTATGTGTTACAGAAACTTGCGAATAAAGATCCACGAAGAATCACAGATCTCAACCAAAGGGACAAAGTGGTATGTTCCCATGACAGAATCTTTAAAATGCTTTCTGTCTTTATAACGCTGGCCTCCTTTTGTGTCTCTGACCTACACTTTAACTGACTGAGATGTCCTCTGTACTATCTAACACAAGAGTACAATTAAATGTTTTTTACCATCACAAAGAACAGTTTTATTTATAATTGCTTTACCGAAGTTATGACTTACCAGATTAATAACAGAGTGTGCATGCAAGGTACTTTCAAATAGTAATTTGAATTACTATTTCTATATTGGAAACTTCATCATGATGCAAACTTGACACTGCATATTGGCTGGCTGCATTTCTGAGGTTTTGATTTCACTGCCTTCTCCTACTATGGATGCTGAGTTCCTCCCATGCACCGCAGATAGGGTTAGTATGAAAGTTTAAGGAACCATGCCTGGCACAGAGTACATCTCACAGGACACTTTCTCATGATCTGTCTACCTCCTGCAGGGTGAAGAGGGGAGACACTCTGTATAAGCAAATTACAACTGTTGGGCATCCTGTAATAGAAGACAATATTATTTTCTTTCCTTCAAAATATGTCTGTTCAGTTTGTAACTGTTTAATTTATCTATAGCTACAGACATGTAGAAAAGTGCAAGTGTATTACAACAGAATGCATAGATTATCCCAGTAATCTTTGAGTAGTAGAAGTAATGGCTAACTATGTTATGGCAAACAACTGACTTTAACTACCTGTTTGTTTGTTTGTTTTTTAATCTAGAGAATGAAACTGGATATCCAAAATGGCTGCACGAGCCTTGTTTGAGGATTCTCATGGCAAGATCTTCACACTTACCCCAGATTATCTCCCATATAAAATTCTGGTGGTTTTCCAAATGTTCTTTATCTCAACAGAAAATGTTTAAGAAAAACAACTTCCTTCTGTTCCATTTACATATGGATTTCACAACCTGAAATATAAAATATGCTACAGAAAAAGGAAGTGTCTTTAGATCAATACAGCATCTCCTCACTCTAGTACTTTCCTACACAACATCAATGTAGTTATTTTTAATGAGTCAACATGTTGAGGATAGTGACCTACATCCTTGAATCTAAGAAGCAAAACATGGCTTTTTATAGCCTACCCTCTTTGTGGGCGTAAAAGTACTCAGTTTAATGGGAATAAGACATCATTACCACTAAATCTGACTTACATAAAATTGTCTTCTGTAGAAATGCCAACTAAGGCGGTGCAGGATGGTGTCAGTCCCATTGATTAAGTAAAAGTGAGGGAGGCGGATAGGTCACCTCACCTGCAGCACAGTCACATGCCTGCAGCATTGCCACTGCAGCCATGTTGGGAGCCAGGGGGTCGCAAATGCCTCTCACAGTTCCACACTCCTGAATCTGCGACTGCAGAAGTTACAAGGATGTCAGCATATTCACTCCAGCTGAGAAGTTGGACGCATAATTCCCATGGAGGACTCTGAGCTTTTTGTAATATAGGCACCTTGCATACAATTTTCTGGCATCTTGGCCTGATTCCTATGTGGTTGCTGAGGTATGCAGGGTTGACCTGAGAATGATTTCAACTATTTCTACCCAGATGATTTTCTGTGTCTGCGACATCGTCTCTGTTTTCTTTTTGCGAATGGCTAATTTCTTGGCAGTTTTCTTTCACTTTATTGAAATAAAGTTCTCAAGTGCTAAAGGGAAATCAGGTGATTCAAATAAATAAAGGCTATAAACGAAGAGCAAAGGCCTGTTGTCCTCAGCGATGTTTTTGTTGCTATGCTGACTTATGTGTGCCAGAGGAGAGACAAGGCAGAGGATACAGGTGATTTGGCACTTTGGACCTGTCCGCTGTCTGCTGCCTCTGTTGTTCTAATCAAAACTGTCACTTTAAGGAAGAATCGCAATAAGTGTGTGCTTAAACTGAAAGATGCTAAAACAAACATTCAGCGTAAATTTGTGGTAGAACAAAAAGAGAAACCTGCCAAATAACAACCCTTTGTTATTCAGAACCAGAGAGACAGCCACATCTCCACGCTGCCCTGAGCCCCGTCTACATGGGATGACTTACACGCATTCTGAGCTTTTTCTTCCCTCTGTAAACCTAGCGCCTTCATGAATCACTATTTTTATCATTGCTTCCATATCTCTTTCAGGAGATTAATCTCCATTACCCATTTCTTCTGTTTTAAGATTTAAGTTAAGCTATTGATATCTGTGAATTTTCGTTTGTTTATTTTCAATCTTTAAAATTTCCTCTTCCCTCATTCCATGTACAATCGGCACCTCCTAAATCCTCCTGCCTCCTTGTTTCTTGCCCAGATAATCTCTCTACATTTCTAATCTGCTTCTCTTTTCTTCACTCTTAGAGCCCCAAAGGCCTTCTGACAGCTGAACTCGTTTCTGATTTCAGATCACCCATACTACTTATCCCAGGAGGTCTTTCAAACATGGGTACTATCTGCTCCATCCCTTGGGCCTATCTCCTTTTGGCTCTGTCCAAAGGTTAGGAAGCAACTTGCACAGCTCACCCTACTCATTGCCCCTTGGGGACCCAGCTCTGCCTGTGTTTATGGAGCACTTATCATTTCCTGAAAATATGCATCAAGAATCTAGTTGCACCCTATGGCATGGCTGTATGTGAGAATTGAATTAAGTCATTCTGCAAAACAGAACAAACTCATTATAGGGATTGGGGTCTAATTGCTTCCAAATGATCTGTTAGCAAAAAATACAAGTCTTCAAGAAACCCTTAGGAAAAAAAGATGCTAGCGTGAGACTAGGCACAGATGAGGGTCAAATGAGGTGTTATGAGAACCTAAAAAGCATGGGAGTTTAGAAAAGTTCTGCACAGACCCCTGGGGGTAAAGCCATAGGAGCTGGGAGGAGCTGAGCTGATTCCACAGAGGGGAAAATTCAGACAAGGACTACAACTGGCCGAGAGCCCACCACATGTCTCAGTGTGCATCTGAATCCAAGTGGTGACCAGGAGCTGCATGGACTCCTCGCCCAGATGGCTGACCATGAATGAGGAAGGCCCTGGTACAAGCCAAGGTAATACCAGATCAAACATAAACATGAAAATTAAAGTCTGTGCACAGACACCAGTGACTTCACACCTCAAGAAGGGGGTTTGGTGCTTCAGGGTTGCCTGGAGCGGTAGATTTTCTAATTTATCTCAGGCAACTTTTTACAATACTTGAAAAATATACATTAGAATCCACTTCTGCATTGGATATATTATTTAAATAATTTGTAATATGAAGTTTCAAGTATGATATTCCCACGATCCACCACTTCTACATAGCCGCTCTGGGCCTCTGTCCCGCAGACTGCTATGTGCAAAAATCACATGCATGTGCCAAAAATAAGGAAATCACATCCTAAAGAAAGGTAGTAATTTCCAGATTAGCAAATATTTATGTAGCTGACAAACCAGCTCCAAAGTTCACAGAAGCACCACTAGGTGGCCACAGAGCTAACCAAATTTCACGTTAACTGGAAAACGTCAATGCTTTCAGCTCTTGCGGAATGTAAGATAGGCTTTTAAAAAATACATTTAATAAATACACTTAAATGTATTTTAAGTAAGCCTATTTAGAAATTTGCTAAACTTTGATCCTGGTTATCACATATGGAAATCTGGATGAATTTTATCACGTATTATTTCCCCTCTACAGGGTGGTGGGTTGAAGTAGATACAGAGCAGCTATTTAAAAAAAAAAAAAAAAAACTGTGCTGACAGCTTGAAATTTCCGAATGAGATGTTAAGTCAGAAAGGCAGATATCTCTTCCTCTAGGTTCTGCAATCTAATGTTCAGGATTCTGGAGCATCAGCAAACTGAAAATCAAAATCCAGTCTCCTGAAAACTGGTGTTTAATTTTTGTTTTTAATTACATACTATTTAAATTTTTTTTGAGGCCTGGCAAATTAACTGGGCTCATTACTGTCATGAAAACCTAAAGTGTCCCTCCTCTTCTCGCTCCCCCACCGCCAGCCAACCTTCCCCCAGAGAAGTATAATGGATAGTTGCTGTCAGGAGCA